CGTACGCACTGGATTGGGAGCTTCTTCGTAGGGTGCGTGGGTGGGACAGCACGCACACGAATACCTACTTATTGTACCCGTCACTCGTAGAGTTTAAGGGTATATGAAAATCTTTGGAAAGCCGACTGATTTTGTTTTGTTTATCGATAGAAAATCAGAGCATTTATGAAATAAGTTATAAACAAATAATGAATCCGCCTCTCTGCGTTTTCAGGCAGTCGCTTTCCTGCTTTCATATCTCGATCTCCCCGGCTCTCCCATTAGCTGAGTAAAGGGTATTTGATAGTCGAGGCACTCGGCCACAGCATTCTCTCTGGTTTTTATATATCCCAACGCCTGTGAACATGTGCTGGCGTATGTTTTAAATTGCTCTCGCTTGCACAGATGTTGCAATATGCAAACAAGCGGAACAGCAGCCACCACCAGCTACGACATCGAATACAAGGTGGCACTTGGAATCGAAGAGGAGGAGATGGGTTGCCTTCTTCTATTGCACTGTGACAACCTGAATTATTTCCATGCACATTAGACATTTCGCTATCAGTAGTAAAACAAGGAAGCCACTGTGATAAGGAAATTTCTTGATTCGTAAATATAATGAACTCACATAGTAAATATTAATGTAGGAGAATGCGTTTGAACGCAATTATTCAGTCATATATACATTAATATAAATATAAACAAAATCGTATTCGAAAGTTGAAAGATCAAAAAATCTTTACAGTTGCATCGTCTAGTGACGCAAGTTTAATTAAAGCTCTTGATATTTCGGCTCGCTTTTAACATGCCAATTGTTGGACGCAATTCTTCTTAGGCATTGTTCATCCCTCTCTTGTCTAGTTGCAATTATTGCTGTTTTGTAATAATGAATGTATATGCAACAATAAATAAAGTAACAATATCGGGCTGAATAAATTAAGTTCATAATCACTGCCACAGCTCGGCGGTACGATATCCGTGTGCAATAACATTCGTTCAAACAATGATGTGCACTTGCCATAAGTTACCCCTTTGACTGTAGAGTCTGCGCAAGTTGAACGAATGCTTTGGGTCCAACAGAGCGCATTGAAACGCATCAAAATCAGTGAAATGTTAAATCAAAAGTTGTTTACACCCAGGTAGATGCGTTATTGTGGTAAAACTTCCGTTGCTGGTAGCTGGAAATAAGAACAAAGGGTTGATTGTTCAGAGACCGAATGTTAAATACCCTTGCAGTTCAGTTTTTAGTCGTGAAGATAAGATTTATTTTTTTGTTAACAAAACGTAGACTGGTTTTATTGCCAAAGCTCTGTCTTACTTCCTTCCGCTTTTTTCCCACATTAATATACCAAATTCGCTTCACGACAAAACTAAAATGTGTTAGGTAAGAATAAACAAATTAATATATGTTTAAACAAACATTTCCTAGTTCCATTTTAGAGCCGTGGGTACACCGAAGGTTTCTTCTTCTTTTTGCATACGCAGAGCCACTTAACGAACACACATCCATATACCCACCAGGCAGACGCCGCTGTGTGTATTTGCGTACAAATAACCAACAATAAAATATTGCTAAATGATTATCATTCGAGGCACGTTTTTGCAAATCACGTTTCGCAATGGAAACAAACAAAAAATACAAATATTCATATTGTGGCTACATATTATTTTTAGCTTTTATTTGAATTTATTGACCGTTTCTTGTATTCTATCTTGGCGCTATCTACTATTTTTTCTACTTTGTATGTAAAATACCAGTTCTTTTTTCATCTAAAAGTAAGGATTGGCAATATAATATTTAAAATATTTTGCTTTAGACTTAAAAGATAGACACACAAATAACACTATGCAGCATCAAAAATTTACCTCGATGGATGCTATATTTTTGGATTCGTTACGAATTCCCAAGTTAAACTGCGTTTTCCAAAAAGTTCCCCGACGCAAGGATTCTTAGCAAAAGGACCTCAAAGTTCGAAGACTGCTAAAATTGGACAACTTTCCAGAGCTCTCAGAGACAAACGGATGCATTGTTTGATTCGATGTTAAAGTTTTTTAAAAGATACACTCTTTATCTTTCAAACCCCATACTTAGAATAATTTTAGGATTTTTTTTAAGGCAGAAATAAATTCCAAAAAACATATTCAAAAAACTAAAAAACTTACAGCTGCGGTAAAAATAGTAGTAGTGTTGCCGCCCTGTGTTTTTAAAAGTTTTTTTGTTGTCACTTTTCTTATCCAATTAGTCTATTAGTACAATTATAATCAATACAATATTACCAGGAGAAGATAAATTACAACAACAAACCTTTACAAACACAGGGCGGCAACACTACTACTATTTTGACCGCATCTGTATGCTTTTATGTTTTTTGACTATGTTTTCTAAAATTTGTTTCTCCTTTAATAAAAATCCTAAAATTATTCTAAGTATGGGGTTTGAAAGATAAAGGGTGTATCCTTTAAAAAACTTTAACATCGAATCAAACAATGCATCCGTTTGTCTCTGAGAGCTCTGGAAAGTTGTCCAATTTTAGCAGTCTTCGAACTTTGAGGTCCTTTTGCTAAGAATCCTTGCGTCGGGGAACTTTTTAGAAAACGCAGTTTAACTTGGGAATTCGAAACGCATCCAAAAATATAGCATCCATCGAGGTAAATTTAAAAAGCACTAAAAATGCTGCACAGTGTAATTAATAATTAGCCTGACCGAATAAGGAATAGCTTTTCTAAGCTAACAACAACTTGTAAATCTTCCTGATTGAAAGCAATGGACACAGAAATGGTTTTAAGTTGTCTAAAACAAATATAAATACCAGTTCATATATACAGAAACATTTGGTTTATTGATGCAATACCGTTTTATCGCCCTCTGGCAATTTGCCAAAATGAATAAATGCGGATTTATAAAAATAAACAGAGAGAAGTGCAATAGCCGCCACATGCGCCGCCAAACAAATTGTTGATTCTAAAGTAAACAAAAACACGTAAGAACGAACAATCTACTGAATGAATATTCTCAGATCACAAATAATGTATTGTATTAAAAATTGTTCCTATATTTACTGGGGTCAGTATCAATAATTTCGAAGGGCGAAAAATTAAAACAAATAATCCTGCTGTTAGATAGAACGTTAATTGAAATAAAAAAAACATTTTTTGTTATTTTTGTATATTTTATATTATTTTTTTGTCCTAGTTCATTTAAACAGAGGTGACCAGAAATATATAATATATGGGTATATGCATAAATAGGTTTCTTGCCCCCAAAGCGATATGATCCCTATGTGGACTGCCGTTCACAGTGATATTTTCAGCGCGTGTCTCCAATAGACTTATTAAAACAATATTTTACCTGGTATATATCTTAAAAGAGCGCAAAGCGGTTTAAAAACAATTCCCATTGTCACACCCACATAAAAAGCATAAGGCAGACGTTGCTGATGCGTAGTATTAAGGAAAAGAGAGAACCCAAAAGCTGAGTGCCGAAGTCATTCGTGGCATTTTTCAATGCTGGCTGCATTTACGAGTCGCACACTTGTATACTTAAAGATAAAGTTCGTGCGTTTGGACGGCTAAGCTTTATCCATACTTTTGGCACCAACTGTCAGGGTCATTACCCTAAGTAAGCAAAACTTTTGATATTGTTGCTAGGAAATTCCATTCAATTAAACACAAATATTTTAAATGAACAGCTAAAATCAAGCAATATTAGCTTCAGCTTTAGCTTTAGCTAAGTTGCCTCCATTGTACTACAGATATACTAAGGCTTTTGTGTAAGGGCAAGGTTACTCTCAGTTACTCTGTTGAAATGAGTGGTAATGTAATTTATTGTAGTCCAACGAGCAACCGAAAATGTATCGGAGTCGTTACCTTTGGCCAGGTCTCAGTTTCAGCAAAGGACTGGGGGCATATGCAAAGCGTCGGTTTGTATTGTACGTTGAACGCAGAGGCAGAGAGAGTTGTTTGCCGTCCAAACCAGATTTGCGTTTCATGTCCCACGGAACCACTTTTCAATGTCAGCTACACACGCCCACGCTCCATCCAACTGCGAATCCCAAGGAGCACATAAATGCATTACTGTGCAGGCTCTGAATATGGCATTTCAAAATCATTCCAGTTAAAGAGCAACTTGAATTCAACTTCAAGTAAAAGCCTTTTTATTTTAAGCTCGTCCTAGAGCACAGAAAATGATTTTCACTTTCCATCATACACAAAAAAAAAAACTTGGTAAAATCAACACTTATAATTGTCAATCAGTCCCCAACCACAAAAAATAGTCAAATCTACTAAGTAAATAGTTACTTTCACAACAACAAATACACACAATTAGCAAAGACACAAAATGGACAAAATTGTCAATTTTTTGTGGTTGAGGTCTTTTTGACAATTTTTTTAAACCCTTGCAGAGGGTATTATAATTTCAGCCAGATGTTTGAAACGCTGTGAAGGAGACGTTTCCGACCACATAAAGAATATATATTCTTGATCAGCATCAATAGCCGAGTCCATCTAGCCATGTCCGTTTCTATGCGAACTAGTCTCTCAGTTTCAAAGCTATCGCGATGAAACTTTCCCAAAAGTCTTCTTTCTATTGCAGATAGTACATATGTCGGAACGAGCCGGATCGGACCACTATATCTTATGGCTCCCATAGGAATAATCAGAAAAAATAATAGAAAAACAATTGTAACTTTGTAGAAACTAGGCGTTTTGATTTTTGACATTCTAAAAACAACATTTTAAGAAGGCATACCTGCAAGGGTATATAAACTTCGGCTGGCCGAAGTTAACTTCCTTTTTTCTTTGTGTGTACTTATGTCAACTTGATAACAAATCAAGTTGATAATCATTTCTTTCTCTTGCATATTTTCTTGCCTGGCAAATAACTGCGCATTGGTGATAGAGCGCTTATCAGACGGGGTAACGCTGTCGGTATTAAAATAAACGCTCATAAAAAAGTGCCAGTTTTTGTATAGAGAATTTTAAACTATTTGGCTAAACTGCATTTGGCTTTTTCGTTTCAGCTGCCAAACCACAATTGCCCGAGGCAAATGTGCCACTCTGATTAGAACCGAAAACAGTTGAAATACTCCCGCGTCATGTATTTACCGGAAACGCTCCTACTGGCCTGCCTTGTGCTGCTGTTCGGAGGACTACCGCATCTCACTTCGCCCACAACAACCACAACCTTAGTGGCGGCCATGTCCATTGCCAATCAGGACCTGGAACGTTACTTTAGGCCAGGAAATGGCACGCACACCTTCTCCAGCATGGAGGACCGCATCGCTGTGGACGTCTACAACTACGCCTTCCTCAACTGGTCGTATGTGGAGCACGGCAACACTCTGTGTAACATGGACTTTGCCCAGGAACAGGCTCGCTACGGTGAGGGCAAGGTGTTGAACGTAACGGGTCGTCTTGTACACATCAGCGCCTCGGACAACGTCAGTGACGACTTTGCCTGTACACCGTACATCAAGGGAACCCAGGGAGCCCCCATACCAGACAAAGGCGTGACCTGGATAGCCTTGGTCCGGCGCGGACGCTGCACCTTCGAGGAGAAAGTCAAACATGTCTACCAGCAGAACGCAGCCGGCGTCATTATCTACAACGACAAGCAAGTGATGCAATTGGAGAAGATGCAGATCAAGGGCAAGACAAGTGAGTTTCATCGTCTGACTCTTAAATTGGCAACCTGTTAAACTTGTATTTTCTTAGGAAACATAGCGGCAGTGATAACTTATCAGAATATTGGACAGGATCTGGCCATTACTCTTGATAGGGGCTACAATGTGACCATCTCGATCATCGAGGGTCGACGGGGTGTACGCACCGTCAGCAGCTTGAACCGGTAAGTTTTATCAAACCACCTCCGGCGTAGTAATAAGCTTATTATTGTTATTTACACAAGTGAAAGTAAAAAAAAAAAGAATTACCTACAATATCATGGAGACGCCGGGGTTTGAACCCGGGACTTCTCACATGCGAAGCGAGCGCTCTACCACTGAGCTACGTCCCCATTGAATCCTTGAAACTTCTGTATAATTGTACAGGCAAATAATTAGGCGAGAAAATATTGCAATTTTATTTAATTACTTTAAAATCAACCTAGTCAAAAAACTTTTGAAAGCCCATATTGTCATACATTTCTTAGGTTGCAAGTTGTATAGGCAAAGTATTTAAATACTAGTTGTTGATCTTGTTTTTCAGAGTCTTAAAATCAATTAAAACAAGATAATATGATAATTATACAATAAAAAAAAAAAAAGTATTTTATGTAATCTTCTGGAGACGCCGGGGTTTGAACCCGGGACTTCTCACATGCGAAGCGAGCGCTCTACCACTGAGCTACGTCCCCGTGTGCAAGCTCAGTGACCAATTGTCAACTAGAGCCAGGGCCACTTTCGCCCAGTGACTGCACACTGCTTTACCATCATGACGTCGGTAAAGCAGAGTATATATTTTTGTTTTACCGAATTTGACATACTCTTTTAATTTGGGAAAAAATGTTTGTGCCACTTAAATATATTAAATGCAATTTGCATTTTCCAATTGTTATTTTTGTAAAAATGGTTTTAACCTCACACCTGCGAAAACAATGCTCTTTTACGCTCAGAACTGAGACATTTTCCCAATCAATAAAAAAAAAGTGTCTCTCACAAATCAAAAACTTCTGATTAAGCAATTTTTTAAGCGCTTTTGAACAACCTGAAATACATTTTTTCATAAAAAAAAAGAAATTTACATCCAGATGGAGACGCCGGGGTTTGAACCCGGGACTTCTCACATGCGAAGCGAGCGCTCTACCACTGAGCTACGTCCCCTTGCAAATTCCGCGCGTCGAATTCCAAGTACAAGCACGGCCAAGAATGTTCTGCTTTACCGACACTGCTCGTAAGCAGTTACAACTGCTTCAAATTATTGTTCTTCAATAAATTCAAATTTGGTTATCACTATGGACGGCAGTCCATGTAGTGACGAAGCGCACCAGGAGAGTGTGCGAAGGCGACTACTATATATACACGAAGAAATGAAAATCTGCTGTGATGGTCCGATCATAATGAATGATACACCTATCGAATGGTATTGCAAAAACTTAAAGGATTGCATACCAAGACTTTAAGAAAATTAATTGGCTTGGGAGAGAGAGCGGTGAAAGTGAAAAAGTGAAAATTTCGAAATTTGGAGCTGTTGGGGCCGGTGGGGATAAAGGCCCCCTCTCAATATTTTAGTTGTATTCCTTTTGAAAATACCCGTCGAATGAGGGGTCATTTGTCAAAATCCGACTCTCCGTTCAAAAGTTATAGCCAAAATAAGATTTTCTTCTTCTTCCCAAAATGAAAATTTAATTCTGTTTGTCAGTTTGTCCACTTGTCCACTTGTCCACTTGTCCAAAATATGTTTTTTAAGTTCTGAAAATTTGATATGACGTTCATCACATCGATATTAAAAACTTTTGTTCTACCACTTTTGGAAAAACCCGCTAGTTTAGCGGGAAAACAGCTATAAATAGCTAAAATTCGGAAAGCCGTAACTTCTATACTACTAAAGCTAAAGCTAAGACTTGTGCTGCATCTCGTTTAAAAGGTATTTTTAAATGCTATAAACGCCTTCTATATGCAATTTGTGTAAATGTAATAGTTAAAAAGATATGAACAAAAGAAAATTTGTTAAAACTTTTTTTTAGCTTTTTTTAATTTTCTCAAAAACGGCTCTAACGATTTTCTTTAAAACTTTAAACTGTATAGCCCTTGAGATTCCTTAAATTTTGGTATATAACACATTACTGTAAAAAGTCACGTTTAAAAGTTATTTTTATACGAAAATAGCCACTTTTGCAAGCTCGAACTACTAACGCTCCCTGAGTATTGAATTTTGTGTGAGGGTATACGAACTGTATTTTAGGGTCATGGAATCAGTAAATTTGCACTTAAGAGTTCCATATAGGAATCTTTTGTTCTACGACTTTTGAAAAAAAGCCGCTACTTTAGCGGGAAAAAGCTAAAAATAGCTACATTTCGTTAGTTTGTAAGTTCTACACTACTAAAGGTACAGACATGTGCTATACCTCGTTTAAAAGGTATTTTGAAATACTTCAACGCCTTTTTAACTGAATTCGTTAAAATACAATAGTTTAAAAATTATGATTTATGACCAATTTAAATTTAAATGTTTATATTAGCACCTATGAGAGCAAAAGTAAACAAACAAAAACTTCTGATATCAAATAAAAACACCTCTTAACGAGGTAAAAAACTAGTGACGACCGCACCTTCAACATACAAAAGTTCTGATATCAACATTTGTGACGAAAAATTATTACACTCGTCATTAAATAGACTTTCTAATATTTTCTCATTCGGCACGCTGCAATAGTAAATGCCTGTAAAGGGAAAAGGCTGGAATAGTTTGCTAGGGCGGGCCGAATGAGAAAAGATTAGAAAGTCTATTTAATGACGAGTGTAATAATTTTTCGTCACAAATGTTGATATCAGAACTTTTGTATGTTGAAGGTGCGGTCGTCACTAGTTTTTTACCTCGTTAAGAGGTGTTTTTATTTGATTTATTAATAATTCAATTTGTATATGGGACGTTCCATATATACCCGGCCACCCCCTTGATAGAAATATAATGGTATTTCTGCAGACTGGCCGTTTGGACGAAATCCTATTTATGAACAATTAATTTTTAATAACATACATTTCTTTTTAGAACATCAGTGCTGTTCGTATCCATATCATTTATCGTGTTGATGATTATTTCGCTGGTTTGGCTCATCTTCTACTATGTTCAGAGATTCCGATACATGCAGGCGAAGGATCAGCAATCGGTAAGCAATAGATTTCTAAATAAGTTCAATGACCAATTCGTGTTTTTATCCCCTTGTAGCGCAATCTTTGCTCTGTTACCAAGAAGGCCATTATGAAGATTCCAACGAAAACGGGTAAAATTAGCGATGAGAAGGATTTGGACAGCGACTGCTGTGCCATATGCATCGAGGCCTACAAGCCCACGGACACCATACGGATATTGCCATGCAAGTAAGTGACCAAGAACCCAGGCTTACGAAAAGGACGATTACTTAACTGCGTAATTTCAGGCACGAGTTCCATAAAAACTGCATCGATCCTTGGCTCATTGAGCACCGAACCTGTCCCATGTGCAAGCTCGACGTTCTCAAGTTCTACGGCTATGTGGTGGGTGACCAAATATACCAAACCCCCAGTCCGCAGCACACAGCGCACATTGCCGCCGTGGCTGTGGACCACCCCTCGTTCGAGGAGCTGCCCGTCATTGTGGTGCCCTTGCCGCACGGGCATGGGCCGCAGCCCCTCCAGCAGCTGCAGGCTAGCAACATGAGTAGTTTCGCCCCCAATCTGTATCTCCCGCGTAGTCGTAGTCCCAGCAGTAGTGTCCAGCAACAGCTACCGCCCCTTCTGTACCACCCCCATCTGCAGCAGGCGGCAGCAGAGCGCGGCAGACGCAACTCCGCTCCCGCCACAATGCCGAACGCTATCATTTGTACTGCCAGTCATCAGGTGACCGACGTTTAAGATATCGCCAAGCCACCCACGAATAATTCTAAGTCTGCAACGTTTAACCTACTGTGTATATACGCGGATATCAACTGCCCCGCGAACAGCGCAGGTATTCAATAGTAAACTGTAGTGAGTTACAGTTCTCGGTTAGATCTGAAAACCTTTCAACCAGACCAATGTTTACACTGATTTGGCACGGCCTACGCATCGAAATTTGTATATTAAAATAACAACACTAAGGGAATGTCACGGCAACGATCAGAGTGCATCCTTGTCAGCCTCAAACATAACATTATTTTCTCCAAGCTATGTATTTAAGGCTTAAGACGTGAGATCTGGTACGTTCTGTGTGATTTTATTTTTTGCTTATATTGGTAGATTTAACAAATGTGCAATTTATTCTTAATGCGATTGACTGGTTTGATTTCTGCGATTATATCTGCGCAGGATCTGTGAAACAAGAACATGTTTATAAAGAATAACTTTTACTTTGGCTTTACTGAATTACAAGTGCTGACGCCGATTAAGAGTAACGTGAAAGCTTACTGGACTATGATATATTCACTCATTTGTAAATAGACTCATTTGAGAGCAGTGTACTTAAAAAAGCTGATAAGAAGACTTCCATTTTAGTTTTTACAAAATCCCACGCACATTTTTAAGTATCTTAGCAACCATATGAAATACCGCTAGAAGTTTAACTTGAAGACGGGATTATAAAAATACTTAAATCGCCTAGGGTTTAAGGTAAACGTTTAAGTTATATTTAAGAGTAAGAATTGTCGATACAGGTAGACGAAAGAAATTACTTGCGAGTACTACAATAACTATGCCTACCTAAAAACTATACCAATACAATTATAATGACTACATCTTATAGCTGTAGAATGTAATGTTAAATGCAATAATTGTAGCAAAATCAGCGACTGTTTTGCTAGTCAAAGGCATGCGAAGTCGAGAGGTCTGCCGATTAAATACATAAACAGATACACAATCGCACTAAGCGCACATTATGTATTAATGTTTACTGTAATATTGAAGGTGCCAAAGTATTTGCTTTTAGTTGTTCAAATTGAATAAATCAACAACATATTTTATTTACAATAATTCGTACTGCTTACGATGTTTATTTGCATTTTTGATCTTTTCCATTAAACCTCCGATTAAGAAACTGGGGTCTATTTGCATTTATTTTCTAATAGTTTTTGAACTTTATAAAATATTAGTTGACTTTCTGACGAGAGAAGTTTTGTTCTCCTATTTTTTTCAACAAATTTTTGTTTTTTTAACTTTGTTCATTCACCTGAAAACAAGACCATGCTGATCGGTTGAAAAAACCGTTAAGAAATTATAGATTATCTTTGCTAAACCCCTTTAACAAATTGTGGACTCAAACATTTTTAAGAACCAACCAAATAAATATATTGAATTTTGAAAATTTATTTGAAAGTGGCCGCTTTGTGCATTTAGAACCGCTTGCGAGATCCATTTGTTGGAGCCGAATCAGAACTAGAAGGACTCTTTAATTACAGTTTCTAGGCAGCGAGGAAAGTATCCTGGAATACCAGCCGGATCCCCCGCAGGGAATGACCATTGTGGAAGCTGGTGGTGGAAGCTCTGCGGACCCTACAGCCGGAGCAACTCAGCCTAGGCCTAGCGCCTTGGCGGATCTCATTCGAAGTCGCGACTTTGTAATCGATTTTCCGCGAGTATTTGTCCTCGACAGCGGTAGTGTTGTGGGGGCACGCGAAATGCTTTTCCCGACTCGCCTACCCGAGCGCTCGCAGAGCTCCCTGTCGCTGAGACAAGCCCGCGATTGGATGAGCCTAATGAGCAACAAGCTGGAGGAGCAGCAGGGTCTGCGCCGCCTGCGCAAGGATGAAATGCAGCAGGTACTAAACGGTTAAACTGAGAAGAACAACATATTGATTCTTAACTACTTCCTTTTACTTAGCAACTTCTAAGTGCGCGTGAGTCGGCTCGCCACCGTCGATCGCGTTCTGCGGATGGACGCTACTCAACCGGATGCTTTGGTGGTCGCCAACGCCAGTCCTCTGTGCAGACTTCTGGGCCAACTCAGGCGCAGCTGCACATCGATGCCACCCAGCTGCGCCGCTCCAGCTCATCCCGGGCCTTGCAGGAGTTGACGGACGCCGCCTACGCCCAGTCAAGGCAGCGACAGCGAGAAACCTTTGACTTTGCCAGGACTCGGCGCCGATTCATGAGGCGCGAAAGCGACGAGATATCCTTGCGCTCACTGCCCAGACGAGGAGCAGCCCCTGCTCCTCCCCGGCAGTTGCATCGGGAGAGGGAGGCCGATGCAAGCGGTCACAGTGACCAAATTACTATTCAGGTGAACGGGGAAGGTGTCGACCTCAACGAGTGATTGAAACTGCATACGCTTATTTAATGAAGTAATTGTATAAAATATAATGTATCTATTTTAGAAACTGTAAAGTAATAATGTTAATGGACTTTTATGAATGATCCAAATATGGAGAGTCATATCTCGTTAAACTCCTAATAAAGTTCGCAAAGTATTGAGGCCTATAAATTGTTATGTTTAATAATATTCAACAAAAAGGGAAATATTTGGACCATTTTCCCCAAGTAAAATAAAGCCCTCTCTTTCACGAAGTTTTTTTGTTTTTGGGGCGAATTCCATTAAGGATTTGCGCGTGCCTAAGGGATAGTGTAGGAACGCAAAAATCGGGCTGATCCCAGCCAACTGATATGTTGTTGGGATACGAGGTGATCAGGGCAGACAGCCAGGCAGCAGCAGAAGAGCAGAGCACAGGCAACTGACAACAGACCCAATTCGACAGCTCAGGGGAGATCCACATTTTGATCCCACCGAAGGCGAGGAGCAAGAGAAATAGAGCACAAGTTATGAGGAAGCCGAGCGGTTGAAGTTGCCGCGGCCAAAGACAGCTAATAAGAATTCATCATGAGCCGCAGAAGCGAGCAGCAGAGGCAGAACTCTCCCAGGGGGAAGGGAGGGCATGCACGCGCCGTAATTGCAACGCAACAGGAGGGCCGCGGATGCCTGGACCAGGAGCAGTCCAGAGCGCTCCGGCTTCGAAGCAACTCGATGTTTATAAACTTAAAGTCTGTAATCACATTAGGGCATGTAGTCAGTGGCTCGGCGGACCCAACTGTTGCCCAACTGTTGCGGCTTTATCACCTGACGGGGGCTTCGCTTCTCGGACTACGTTCCTCCTCTTCGTCATACTCCTCTGGTGCCACGATCGCGATCGATGACAGCACGTACGAACCTGGGTCCCAGTTTCGGAGATTGGAGGCTCAGCCGCGTTGTGTTTTTTGAGAGCTCCGGGCACAAGGGGCGTATCCGAGGTGGGCGTTGCACTGAGCATTCATGATAAAATTATTATATTGTTGGAGGGCCGCCGTTTTGGGGAAGCCATGGTAAAAGGAAAAAAAACTAAAAATGAAAATTCTTTACATTTACATACCCCGTAACTGTTTGTCACAATGTTAACAAAATCAATATTATCCCCACTTTTCACTTAAAAGATATCTCAAAAATTATTAACAGCTAAAAATAAAAAAGAGAAAAATAATAAATGCCCAAGAACGGTTAACGAGAATATCGAAAAGCAATTTCGAATAAAAGGAGCCATCTTTCTTTTTGCTTCTTTTTAAAAAACGAAAAGGAGCCATGTTTCATATCTTTTTAAAATTCGAAATATTTTCCAAAAGGATAAAAACAAGAAAATCAATTATCATGTTTACATTATTCAATAGAAAAATATATCCTCGAATTCTTATTAAAGAGTAATTCCTATCCTTTGGTCCATACCCTTTGGTCCTTACCCATTGAGTTGAACCCTAGGTGTCGCCAAAAACGGTGTAAAGAAGAAGTAAAAGTATGTAGGTAATATACATTCGTGTAAAATTAGGGGTCGTGAGTTTTGCATTTCTTTGGACGCCAAGGATAAGGTTGTGTAAGAAAAAATGTATACCGCATTTGCCAATCGTTAATATAAATAAGTAAAAACTAGGTTTTTTAAATGTCAACGAAATCTAAACATTAGTCAAGACCATAGATGACCAAAGTTACTTATTGCTCCCACCCTCTATAATTTTGTCTGGTCGAGCTGTAGGCCATAAATAAATGGGCGCACGACAAAAACAATGCACCGTGCTAATGTGGCAAGTAGGAGGCGATGCCATTGAGGCGAAACCAATTGCCCAGGCAGCAGATGTAGCTCCGCTCCCTTCTTTAGATCGTTGATGGCTCAAACCCGGGTCAGTCCACAATGCGATCACCAGGGCCGTCGCTAATCTGCTGTAAATGAGTAACACCAAGCAATGGAAATCATTGCAGCTATAGCTATTGACGCTCCTCCATATGCTTCTCCATATATCCTGCCAGATTTGACTCTCCCAATCGGAACTAATTGGGGAAACAATAAAATCGTTCTCTTCTACCCTCCTACGATGTGTGAAGTTAAATCCAATCACAGAACAAGCGACGCCCAAGGATTAAGGAAGTTGACGTGCGGCGGAAAAAGTGGAATATATGATGCCATCTTATTGCCAAAATGTTAGTTTTTATAATTTGTTTCAGCATTGATTACGGATCACGTGACAAGGAGATCGCTACTAGGATCTGATGAAAAAATGGCGATTCGATGCGCTGGCTGTCATGTCTGCCGATCATCCCCGACAGCCTTCGGCACGGGAGCCGAAGTGAAAACGTCAGTGTGTGTCACCATTGTCAATCTCTACCTAGTGATGTGCTGCCCTCGTAAAGAGCTTCATGTGATGACAGCATCCAGAAACCATGAGATCTTAAACCAATAGTAAACTTTTTCAAGATAGTTCTAGATTTGTAATAATTTTTCTCGTACTAAAAGACTAATCTTTGACTTCATTATGACTGCCTGCCTACTTTCAAAGCCCTAATTTAATATAACTGAATTGAGTGCCTCTTGCTCTTTTTTCAATCATTTTTGCTTCAGTCTTTTGAAGATCTTTGACCGTCTTATCATCACCGCTTCCTTTTGTGGGAATCATCGTAGACCACGGAAAGTCCAGCTTGGAAGGCTGGCTGTGTTAGCCTTAGGGTGGCTTCATGCCAGTCCTTGCCTCATGAATATGTTATTTGGTCCGACTTATTGGGGCGAGTGATTCATAGGCCGGGGATCTCTTGGGGCAACCTTTTCTCGGTGCCGTTTTTGCTGCGTTGGGCCTGTTGATGTTGCGATAGCGATCATGTCGATTGCTCGCTGATATAAATATAAATGGGCGAGTATTGCGCTGATTTGTCGGCTCAACTACAAAGCGAAGACTAACGGCAATTCAGCTAAGCCTTTCCGATTCTCCACAGCATCGTAGACGATCTTTGCGATCTTGATCTTGTAAATCAGACCGCTAAGCGATCAATTTTATGCACTTTATTATATTTTTACATTACGCTGAACTCATTGATCACAGCAAATTTAATTTAAAAGCTAACCGAGGTCTGCGTATTTTCTGAGAATTTGCACTTCTTGACTAGTTCATTCACAAGTAGCAAAGTAGCTCAAGCTGACAAAGTTAATCCACAAATTGTCGCAAAATCGAAATCCACCAAAATATTTTCTAGACCTGCCTAAGCCCCTTCCCGCCGGGTACTCTGGAATTCTGCCGAAGTCAGAACAAGTATATCCGAATATCCGCTTATATAGATCAGCGCGATCAGCGGACAAAAACAAGCGGTCGAAAAAAGACAAGAAAACGGCATGTTGTCAAACGTTGAGTTGGCTCAGCCGCAGGCCAAGATTAAGTTGGGACTACGCACCCGAATCCGACGGGGCAGCAGAGATGAGGCCAAAAGGAATGCGGAGCGACGAGTCAAGGAATCAAGACAGGGCCAAAGGCAACGTGCTGCATTTTGATTGAAATCAAACACAAAAGCAGATTACAATTTATTTATTTGGCCAAGCGTTTGGGAAAAGTAGGGGGTAAGGTAAAGTAAGAAGTAAAAACGAAGATCTTAAGAAAGGACGTGTTCGTGAGTTGCGCGTGTGCAGCGGATTATCCTTGTGCACTTGTTACACATCCTCGCAGGAGACCGCCGAGTCTCTGTTGGGACGGCGACAAAAGGAACAAAATTTAAAAACGACCAAGTTCAAGAGCCGCAGAAGTGTGAGGAGATGAACTCATCAGCCAGATTCAGGCGTCCAAAAAGCCGACGTACACTGATCCCGTTCGCCTGCCGTGGACCCGTGAGCCCGAATAAAAGCGGATTAGTTTTCGGAGAGGGTGCTAAGACGGGTAAACGCCTACACCACCAAAAGTCATGTCATGTTGGGCCAGAAAGGATTTGCCCTGCCACTGACACAATTTCTTGCACCTTCGTCAGCCCACACTTCTTTCTTCGGCGGGGTAAGGCAACCTGCGCAGATCAAGATCTTCCTTTGATCCTTACACTCACAAAGCACTGGGCACGGTTTGGCAATATTTATTAGTTTATATTGGATTTTCAGCTTAGGCTTAGGGCAATGCGCAATCTTGGATGCGAATCAGCTAACGAAAGAGCAGCAAAATGGACGGTCCACCCCCAACGACTGTTCCATGTCACCTCCTTGGGCGAAACAAATTCAGCTTGGTCATGGGGTATTACTTTGTGCCTTATTATTACCAGAGCAGATCATCTTGTAGTCGCATTTTTTGCTTTTTGTCAAATTATCAACGATAAGCCACCCAATCCGGAAGGGATATTCATAGTGTGGGTCTGCAGTTAGCAGTGAAATGTGTGTCAAATCGTAATTACTGGTTTCCTTATTAGTGAGGATGATCGAACAGTCTGAAGACCTAAATATATATTAACAAAATAAAAACACAACTATCAAAAAATTAAACTTTTTAAGATCCGTTTTCTAGACTTCTTGATATAAATGATCTTAAACACCTAAAGTTTTTACAGCCACCAAAAGCACTTTAATGTACCTACCAGTGACTATTTCAACATAGATTAATGGTTCCCAAATAAAGAAGAAATACATTATAGTTCATCGGGGTAGAAATGGCCGACATTTCCACGACTTTTGGCAAGGATGGTTGCAATTCATAATGGCTGCCGCTTGGGGAAAATAAGTAGGAATGTTCAACCCTCCAACGGAAGGGACGCAGAGCTCAGAGCAACTTTGGCCTGGGCTTGGCCACACCAAGCGTTTATAACCGCCAAAAGCAAACATCCACCGAGCATTTCGAAATAACCGTGAAAATAATCCATCTTTCCGCTAAGCAAGCTGCATTCCGCTCCCGTCACCTCGTCCCTTTCTGGCACTTCGACGCACGGCCTGCCTAGCACTCCCCTCGGTATCGCCAGGATCCGGGCAGGGCAGCTGCCGGGGAGAGAATGGCAGCAAAAAAAGTGTCAAAAAATGTTTCATTTTAGATCTGTTGAAAAATAATGTTCCCGTCTTTGTCCTTTTCCCGTGATTTCTGCACGCTTCACGCCAATTTGCGCGCCCATCAGCCAGGAGCAGCGGTGGTGGTACTGTTCCCTTGGTCTGCTCACGGGTCTGGATGCTTTTCCAGTTTTCCGATAGCGACTGCTGCATCCTTTCGCATATTGTTCCCCTCCTGCCATGGGAATGAGAATCATTTTCAATGGCGCGAAATATAATTCATTTAAATGATTGGGTTGTTTGTATAGACTGCATATGCGGGGGGGGCCCGGGGAGCGGAGGTAGCTGTGCTCTGCTAGCCGTGGAAATTAGTTTTTCCACTCATTCACAGAGTCATGCATGTTCCGCAGTTGGTGGTTTGCTTGGGGGTGTTCAAATTGGATAAACGAAATGGCGTTGTTCACAAACAAGGAAATCACGTTGGGAATTACTTTTGCCGGAGCAAAACACTAAATAAGACATTGTTTTTAGGGAATTTTGTGAATACATTGACTTATAAATTGACGGTTTAAGGCGAGAAAGCTGCTGTGAGACAGTCAGAGCTTTGCACCTACAGGTATCTTTGTAAAGAGTCGAAACTACCAACAATTGACATATTAACGATCGCTTGTCTCGCTTTTTTCCGATAGAAAAGCAGGCGAAGAAAACAGTAAACGAATCTACTCGAAAGTATTCGAGCCGGACTCTCGGTGAGAGCACAATACGGCTACAATTACAATTACAAATGCCAGTTGGCGGGTCGGCAAAAGATCAAAGCGAAGCACAAAGCTGTGCAGGCTAGGGAATAACAGAAAATAACGTTGCCAGCGTGCACAATAACAATGGCAATAAAGATAAAAATAATAAAATATAAGCCAGGAAAAATAGTGTACAGAAAATGGCACAGACACACTGGCAAAAAGAAGCATTGCCATTGCATACCATTTCCATTTCCATCTCCATTTCCATCTGCATCTGCATCGCCAGCTCCCAAACCAAAACTAAAACCGAGCACATCGCCAACTTTCCCAAGCAATGCGAGTATGCAAATATATCACAGTCGGCTGGCTAGTTACCTGATGGATGGTACAGCCAAATGTTCCATGAGTCATCCGCCCTGGTGGCCAGCTCCGAGCAGGTACGACACCAAAGTTACGGTTTGATCACAAGTTGAGCGTAAAATATGCTAAAGATCATCGGGTGTCAGTAACTGTGTGTGCCGGCAAATGAGCGTAAAATGATCAAAGAATCTTCGCGCGCTATGCCAAGTCTGCCCAAAGTCTTCTCTACCTCTACCGATCACCCGGTGTCCCAGGATTTGGTCATCTTCTGCAATCGCACAGCGCACGTATACTAAGTACGTGCGCGCATTTTGTAAAATAACATTCAATTTGTGCAACCTGATCAAGCCATTGCAGCGGGTCCAGATCACCGATCACCGACCGCCCTTCGACGATCATCGAAAAGCCTGCCTTAATAAATAATCAATGTACTCCGTTGTAATCACATTTCTGCGATCCACATTTCCAAATCCCTCGGCTCGACTGACGTTTGTGCATATTTTTACGCTTGCTTAAAACGGCCGAGTGCCGAGTGCTGAGTGGCGAGCTCAAAGAAGATCGCCGACGGCTGAAACTGCCACCATCGGAGATGGAGTTGGAAATTACATGTTTCTGGCCCCTCTGATGATTTCTGCAATTGCTGGCCAACGTCAGCGGCAATAACAACAATTTGTTCGGATGGCCGGTGCAGACAGCCTGGCTGCTGCTGCTTCATCGCTGGTCCAATTGGCCCGAGTTCGGGGCATCGGCATCGGCTTCGAAATCAACTCGCAGCTGCATTGCCATTACTCAGCCGATCTTCGGGGCTCCTCCCGGTCTGGGGGGTTCCTTATTGAATTATAATGTTATTTAGTTGCGGCTGCCGCTGCGGCTTCTCCAGCGACGTCATCGATGCTGGATTGCAGACGGCAGACTTTGTGGAAGCGGTTGTCGCCTGAGGCCCCTGCTCCAATGCGATCGGTGGGGCTGCTTTTAGTGGCACATGAAGACATTGTAGGAGGCATATTATAGATGCTTTTTTAAGCTGCCTGCCTGGAGTACCTAACGAGGCCCCCGAAACTGATCATGTTTCTAAGCCACCTGTCAAAAGAGATCCTTCTTAATATAGATACCTCGTGCTGTGTCAAGAATTAAAAGCTCACATGCGTAACTCAAACACCCGACTTATCAAATTTTCAACGCGAATCGATCAAAAATTCATGCGTAATTTCCCCGGAGCGATTTTGGACGAAAAAAGGGCACACGAGAACCCTCTCAGAGGAAGACGAACCGCATCAAAATATTGTTCGCAGCCAGAAAGCCAGGATCAGACCTCTTATTACCGAACCGCGCTCCAAAAACAACACACAGAGATACGCTCTAAATTTGCGTTACGTAACGGAATTTAAAGCGTTCCTTATCAGATTGGTTTTTATGTTTTATCAACGCTCCCATGAACATGAGCATGAACCGTTGTTGTTGCACCTCGGCTGCGCCATTTAATACGTAAATAATTTTTAATGAATATGAGATAAATATTTTTTGGCGTGCGGTTCGGAACAAGCGAATGAGTGTGTGAAAAATTAGCGGAAAATTTCCAAAACGTCAGCACTTGAAAATTGTATATTAATTCGTCAGTCGATGGTTAAGTGCTGCGGATCGGAGGCAATTAACGGTTGCATTTTTGATTGGATGCAACTAATTTGAATTTCGGGGGGTCTGGAAGCGGTAAAATGTGATTAAAAAATTGTATGAAAATTGAAATCAATAATTATACCAGACCAAGTCGCATTATGCTCAACCCAAACTCAGTCGGCACCATGATCATCAATCAAATGAGAGGATTTCGTCTGGAAGGGACCGTCAAGCGGATCCAGCTACCGGAGCTACACCTTCACTCAAATTGACCACACAGGAAGTCTGCGTTGATAGAAGGCAGCTAAATTCGCATACTCCCGACAACCGACTCCAAGTGGAAGTCTCTGGGCTCGACTATCGAAAACGCATAAATCACAAGTTTCTTTCTTGTGTCGGGAGGGCCTTTCAACAGCCTTGTCAAATGTGCCGCTGCGGAACTCGCACTCGGGCTTGTATCCCAGCTCTCGGCTGCCCACACAAATTAAATTTGTATAAAAATATCAAAGTTGGTGGCCCAGGACTAGGACCCAGGCAAGGATAAGAGACGAACAGGACAAACGAAGCCGCAGGCTACTGTATGGCATGGGAATGACAAAGTGGAAACAGGCAACCGCCTTGGGCAGGAAAGAAGTCCCCAGGACCAGGAGATGTGCGATCAATTATGATTGTCACAGTTGACACACATTATCGCCCTCGCAGAGGCTCGGAACCTGTCGTCGCCGTCGTAGGACTCTCCAGTTCGTCGGACTGCCAAAGGTCCGGCGATATGAGCTAATTGATGTTTTCATTTGGGCACTCGGACGGCCGGAGAACGTTTTCATTCTAGGTGGTAAGTGCGACGCCCGCTGAGCACACATAATTGAGAGCAGCGGGAAGGTCCTGAAGAAAGTCACCGATCCCCTACCTACGGCAGTACCAGCAGCACCACCCAAGATCTCGATCGGCTGTAACTAGTGCATGGGGAGAGGACTGGGACTGAGACCGAGACAAGTATGAGTCCTGCCCTCCCTAGCTGTCATTTTGTCAATGGCTTTGTTCATTCCCGTGTGCACTTGGCTGCCCTTTCGGGTCTTCTCATCTTTGGCCAGGCCCACATTTCGGCGGCATCTTGAAAGTCCTGCCTCAGTGACGTTGGTGGTCGCCGGATTCCACTGCTCATATTTTGCGCATCTCCTTTGTCAATTGCTCTATTTTGCTGCTATGTGTGTGGCTCCCCCGAACAATGCACAGATCCCAAATTATTTTCGTATTATCGAATCCGCAGTACGTGTTTGTCGTTTTTGTCTCTAATTGTTTAATTGTCAGATCATGAGTCGGCTTGTTGTTTGGCCCGATCTCCATCTAAGCTACAAGGGATATTTGGGCGATCGACATGTTAGTACATTGTCAGCTTGTCATTTAAGGGGACAGTTCCTGTACTACTTTGAAGGATTAGTTTCTTGTCCTTGTTAACCTGTTAGGTTGCTGCAGGAACATGACCAAAGCAGGTCATGTGTGTGGTCTCGGGGATTTTGGAGACAATGTCATTAGTTAAATGGAGTGTGAACGTTTTGTGTTTATTGTGTGGATTTTTGTAATGGGATATACATTAAATGTCAATGGGATATTGAATTTGTGATAATTCTCAATGACATAAATACATTTTTTAAATTAAAGAAGAAAAAAACAATAAATACTCTTTTAAAAATCTGAAATGAAACCATGTTTTCTAGGTACCAAAGCTCACATCATTTCTAGCTCATCATTATATTTATTTGCTTGCACTGTATGGACAAATTCGGCCAGCCGAAGTTTATATATCCTTGCAGGGTAAATAAAACAAAACGCCTACTTTCTGCAAAGTTACAATGTTTTTTCTATAATTTTTTTGATTATTCCAATGGGAGCCATAATATATAGTGGTCCGATCCGGCTCGTTTTGATTGGGTATTTAATTATGAGCTCAACGAGGTATAACATATTCGGACCATTATTTCCATTGTTTCAAGTAAAACCATTTGATTCTTTTTCATTTTAAATTTCAGCTTTTATTGTTTTGATTATCGCTCTTCTATCTTATATTTACCAAGAACATGAGTCTTAAAATACGATTTAAAATAATTTTAAACAGTCTTAGGGGGTTTAGATGACGACTTATTGCTAGTTTTATTACAATTAAAGTTGAGGGAAGTCTTAGAATCCGAAGTAGGGATATGCGGGAGCACTGGACATCATGGAACTCTTCTGGTCGACCTGATGGTGGTAGCCGGCCATGTGGTTGCCAGCGGCAGCAGTGGGAGGGAAGAAGGATCCAGCAAAGTTGTAGCTGTCCCAAGAGGAAGGGTGGTGAGAGCCGGAGGCAGCCGCGGATGCAAACTGCGATCGGAGCTGTTCCGCAGATGAGGCGGCGGTCGGGGGCATGGCATAGGCGGTCGATGCAGTGGACGGGTATGCAGCACTGCCCGATGCCACGTAGGTGGAGCTAATGAACTCGTTGCCGGCTCCTGGCTGCTGAGCTTGCGTCTGCACGGGGCTGTGGGCGGCAGAGCTGCTGCCGGAGGTGCTGCTAGACGGCGACATGGATGCCACCGATCCACTGTAGGCGCCGTGATTCTCATAGGCAGCTCCCGAAGATGGCCAGGTCTGGTTGCCGTACAGACTCATGCCCATGTTGGGAGCAGGTGCGGAGCTAGAGGTGCCAGTGGCTCCGTAAGAAGCGGCTGTGGGTGCGAAACTGGGCACCTGCTGGGTGTTCAGTTGCTTGCGCAGACGGGCACGACGGTTGGAGAACCACACTTGGACGCGGGCCTCGGTCAATCCGGTGCTCTGGGCCAGCTCCTCGCGGGTGTAGACATCAGGGTACTGGGTACGGGCAAAGATGCGCTCTAGGGCGTCGATCTGGTCGTTGGAGAAGGTGGTGCGGGAGCGCCTCTGCTTCCTCTTCAGCTGCACACTGGGCTCGGCGTCGTCCTCGCTCTCATCCTCGCTTCCCGCTGAGCCAGCGCCTCCACCGAGGATGCCATCGATGCTGTGCGAGGTTCCCGATCCAGAGGATCCGCGAAGAAGGCGCGAAATGGAGCTCACCGAGGGGGCACTCTGTTTGTCGCAGACTCCGGCCTCGATCAGTTTGGCGCGGATCTCCCAGCTAAAGATACCGGGCTGCGACTGCTTCAGTTCCTCGATCCTGGACTCGATGTCGGGCGTGGCCACGCGGGGCTTGCTGCCGCCGATCACTCCTGGCCGGATGGAGCCAGTCTCCTGAAAGCGGTTCAGGATTTTCGAGACGCAACCGTGGGAGACGCGCAGCTGGCGGGAGATGACGCAGGGACGAACCCCAGCGGCCGCCATCTCAACGATTTGGCGACGGATGTGGTTGGGCAGCGGACGCCCGTTGATGAAGACGCCGCCAAGTTGGTTGACGCGACCTTGTCCTACAAGCAAAAAGAATAGGGACTGATGAGTAAATTTGCAGGCCAATCTTTGTTCTTTAAGTCCGTCCATGGAGGTCTGATCCTATTACAGGTAAGGTAGGTTTGTTTGTGCCCTTTCAATTAACTTTTTTCCTGTGCTCGATTGAGCGGATGCAAGTAATCTAGTTAGCCAGCGTCGACCACTTCACTGAATTGCACTCGAAATGGCCTAAGCAGGATAAGCCAGAGGATCAATTCGCACGATCTTTTGTTGCAGAGCGGCACAAACGATTCGATGGCCATTTGTAGACATAACAAAACGCAAATTGCCAATTTGCGTAGGCATTTTCGAGAGAATGGAAAGCCTCTCGCCGACACATCGGTGGCGGTGGAAAAATTCCGATCTGCGAACGCAGCTGCATCCCGGGCTGGCCCATGCAATCAAATCAAACTAATAATCCATAAGCGCTACAGACGCCCAGCTGTGCAGGCTAATACAAGTGAGTATGTGAGTATGAAAAGGCGGCCCCAAAACAGCCGAAAAGAGAAATAAAATCCCGGTCCATGTGCAGGGTCTCTGTTGTTTGGGGCGCTGACGTTGCTCAGCTACGTGATACACAAGACCCCGAGCTCCGAGCGCGCAGACACTGAGCCGATTCAAGATCAAAGCCCAGCGCCACAAAGCCGCCAGGGAAAGAGACGAGACATGAGCTGGCAAGACGGTCGAAGACGCGCCAAAAAGTCTGCAAAGTCCGCACTGGAAGCTGGGATGGATGGATGCGGCTGGCTTTGGCTCTGGGTTGGCACTGGGTCTTGCCCGGCCAAGTTGCCGATCACAATCAATAAGTCAAAAAGCTGATCATGCTGCCGAACGGGTAATAATCGCTCGTTTGAAAACAGCGGGCGAAAGCGCTGCCCCAAATGATGAGCCAGCACTTTTCTATGTCCGAGTCTGGCGTTTTGTACTCGTAATTGTAGTAATTGGTAATGCTCGTTGTGGTCTGTGGTCTTTGATCTACTATCTACGATATGCGATCGGTGCTTACCTTGGAAGGGATATCCAGCAAAGTAGGGTGTCATGTTGAGAGCCGAAACAGCCATGTCTTTTGCAGTAATCCGTTGGTGAGATTTTCGGGAGTATTGTCAACACTTTTTACTTTTCGATCGCCACAAGGCCCGGCAGTTTACTAATTTTATAGAATATTCTCGGAGGTATTTAGACCTAGTGCTCGTAGCGCAGTGAATGGTGATGCTGCTCGTTTGCTTGACAGCTCGAAACTGATTTTGAAACGGTCAGCCACAAGACTAAAACGAATCCGTGAGATTCTCAGAGCCAAGAAAACGAGTTTTCGTCGGCGGCCAGGCAGTGCGGGCGAGGGTGGAAGTGCAGGCCGGCGGCAGAGCGAGAGGCGGCGATCGCTGGAGAGCGCTGGTGGTGGTTAGAGCGGAGCAGCTGCTCACTTAGGCCATGTGTGCTAGAGCAGTGCCGTCAAACCAGAAACGAGAGAGAGAACCCAGTGAGTTTTCATAGCATGGCTGCAATTTCACTTAGCTCCGCCCATGGAAAACCGAATTGAATTCGGTTTCGTATTCCTCCCTTGGCGGAGCTGACTTTTGGAAAACTCCGAGTGGGCTTAGGCTGGCTGGCACTCCATTATGATTGTTTATTTTATATGCGCTTGATTTGGAGTTATGGATCTAAGGTTTGAGGTGGGTGGGTGGTATGCCCTAAGTCCAAGCGCGGCCTGATTGCGCATATCGTAATCATATTGTAAACACGATTGCCAACGCCGCAGCGTCTCAAATAAACTGTTTTCCTGAAACCATATTTCTCTGTGCGACGCAAAAATAGATTTCCATTATAAAAACCCGTAGAAAAGCAAATACCTTTCTTGCGTCCAATGAATGGGAGAGGAAAGCAGAATGCAAAAAGTTACTAAACCCTCCGGATGCGTGACGTTCAGACCTCGCCTTCTCGTTCCACCTCCAACCTTCGGCACAGACAGGCAATGGAGCGCACTTAACTTGCATTCCTATCTGGCTAAAAGACGCCCTCGCCAAATCAATGGCCTTGGGCTAAATGGGGAATGACTGGGGGCTCAGGTACACGTGTCTCGCTCAGCCTGTGGCAGGATTTTCCTTTTCAAACAAGTTCGATCAATTGATTCTGATGACGCTGCTTTCAACCGGAAGGGCAAGTGCCTTAAAGACAATTATTGCGACTTGAAGAGCCCTCGACTGTTCGGGTACAATGGTTCAACTCAGAGACACGCTTCGTTAAAAGTTCATTTCGCAGCTGTGATTCAATTACTGCAGCAACCCAACAGACGCTGTTTGCCTACACTAATTAGAAAGAACCCCATCCCCCGAAACAACTTCCCAAATTAATATTCATGAGAAAAAGAGACTGGGACGACCACTAATATGTGTGGCCGAGTGGGAAGCTGACAGAAACATTTTCGCACGGGCAAAAAGAAGAGGAAAAAGTAAACTCCATTTCCGAGTGCATGACTTTTGGTTAATTTTCTGTTTTCTGAGAGCGCTAAGCTAGGAACTGGCGGTCGAAATCAAAGAGGTTTTGGCCATGTTGCGTATACGCCGCGTGTGCGAGCATTGAAATTATGCGGCATCATATCCAAGGCAAGGCTGCGGACGTGAACAATATAGACAAAGTTGTTGCCACTGTTGTTGGATCGGGCAATTGTCGAGATACTCCCCAAGCGAGCGAGTGTGTATCTGTGAGATATATTTTTTTTTGGCGTGGGTGCGACGCTGAATGTGTGCCATTTGGCAATAATTGTGGCTCTATTGTCTGGTTGGCCGCCACGCTCTGTGTGTGGCTTCACCGCGAGGCAATCGCTCAAATCGTTTGACAACTGAAACTGCTACTGTGCGATTGGCACGGCAAAGCCGCCTCAGATGCAGATATCGATATGGTTTGTGTGTCAGCGGCAATGATGAATCTGTATCTATTGAACATTCAAAAGGCAAGTGTTCAGCCTCTGTTTTATCTCCACCGACTGTCCTCGTTCTCCCCACAGCTCTCCTTTAGTCGCTTCGCATTGACCTGGACCAACTTTCCGTCGATATATGTACATTATCTGCTGCAAATAAATAGTCCCGACGACTCAGATGGCGAAATACTTTTCACTCGTTGACTTTGGCATTTTTGTGGGAATTTTTAATATTTTTTGTAAGCCAGACGCAGACGAAGAACCGAAGGCAATGTATTTGCCTAGCTGTCGAGCTGTACATTGCGGGTATCAGCTCAAGTTGGAAAATTAATTTGCGAAACTACTGACTGCGGCCAAAGGAATTGACTTGAGTGATGGCTTTAAAATGCTGTGGAATTCAATTTTCTTCCTTCAAAGAGCTAGGCTGTCCGTGACGGGCAATTTGAATGGAGCTTCCCCATATTGATACAAGTTACTCTCCCTTCCCGACAGACTTTCGGGTCGGGAATAATTTTTCATAAAAGTCGTATATTAGAGTGTAATGAAGAGCCCTCCGAAATACTGGGCTAATGATTTCCAAAGCGCTTCCAATAAATACGGCTGAAAAATAACCACTAACGCCCATATGTCAGCTTAGCCGAAAGTCGCCGTAGGCACCAACAACAACAGCTGCTGGGGCGAAGCGGTGAAACAAGAAAACTAAATTAAAACTCAACCGCAACTGTTTACACAGCAAATGTTACCACAAAGGGGCGGCTTGGCGCACCAGAGCCTCTGACTCCAACTGACTCCAAGCTGAAATCCCAGAGCGGCCTGAGCCGGGAGATGATTAATTAAGGCGGCTACTTGGCAGAGGAGGATCGGGCCAACAGCTCGGCCAGTTGGCCGGCGAGGTGAGAAGAGTAATATGTACAAATATATCACTCCTTCGGAACGGTTAAAAACGAATTAATAATGTGTGATCGGAGGCCGCCCCCAAAAGACGTGGAATGCCAGTTGGCGGATTCCAGGAGAGCATCAACTAATTGCGGAGGCCAAAAGGATGTGGCAGCCAATCAGGAGTGTTGTGCGGGCGGCCACGCGCACCTCCTGCATGACACGGCAAAGGACCGCTTGACTTTGGATGGCTGCACAAAGAATGCCATTATGTGCATGATCTGTGGTTTTCCTTTCGCTCCGCGCAGCTCCGTTTGTGGTGCTTTGTCGGCAAGAGTGTGAACAGAATAGGGGAGTGGAGTGAGCTGAGTTAGGGGAGGACACCCAAGCCGCTGGCCCAGACCGCCACCATCGATGTGTGAATTCTAACAGCCCGCGTCGGCGTTTCGTCGTAAATAATGCGTTCGGGATTCGGTCACAGTCGCTGAAATGTACGGATTCTTTGAAACCGAACGGCGAGTGCAGACGAAACGTCGAGGATGATGATCGAAATGAAGATTGAGATTGAGATCCCCCTTAATTTCCCCCGGCGTAGCGCCCTCGGTTATCGCATTCCTGTTAATTTCGGGCTGATCCTTGATTAGCACCCCGCTCGCCTTCTAATAGGGATATTAGGACCAACTCGATCCGATCGCCTGGACGGCTCGCCCCTTCGTGATGTATGGCGTCAAGCCATAAAATTCGTTTAGCACCTGCGTGGCCGTGAGAGGTGTGATGTCAATGATTATAATTATAACGCCTAGCCGTACTGACACGTAAAAGGGTTTTGACGACTCTGACCGACGCGGAAAAATCGGGCGTCATGATCTAATTCAACCTGAGAGAGATACAATTCAATATTTTGGGTACAAACACTGCATCTTTGGGATGTGGGATCTTTTTTGGACATGTTACAGAAAAAAACACTTTAAAAATATATATTTCAGGTAAAATTCTACATCGTTATTTTCAGCGCAAAAATATCACTATATATATCACAAAACAATAGATACCCCGTTCTTGTAGAGAGGGAAAGAAATTACCTGAAACACAGAGACTCCCGAGTGACATTAAACTGCGACCCTCTAAGCTTTTCAAAAAAAAAATGCATTTTCGATCCACTTCAAATCCAGCTCTTTTCATCCGTAACCATGTCCGCGTGGAAAATAATTCATTTTTTTTATCACAATATGATTATAACTAATTTGACATTGAAATATTAGCATGTGCAGCCCCTAACTAGAGGAATCCCAGAAGAATCGAAGACGAAATAATCACGAAACGCAATCAATCCTTTAACGATGATGCAGATGACGAGCCGTTCCATACTTTCGAGCTCCGGCCACCAAACATAAATAATCCATAAAGGCAGGAATTTTCCTTTTCCCTACACACTGCTTTCCCGCTTTGATTTATTTACCATAGTAAATATAAATGCATTCGAAATGCATTTTAGTTATGCGTTGAGGCCGCCACCAATCTTCAAAATTATCATCTTCAGGCCATGTGAAAATGGAATATAAATAATTATCCAGTGGCTTACAGAGCAACTGAAAACAGGGATTCGTGATTATGGTTCTACTTTTAATTAAAAACGCATTTCTGGTCGTTCAATTCGGGTCTTCAGTTTGAGTTCCAGTTGCATCTCGAAATCGATTTGATACAATTTCAATTTTTGTTGATTTTTCCCAAAGTGACAATTGGCCTGCGTGATTTTCAATTATTCTCAGTCGAATCGATTCGTCAGTCGGCACATGTCAAAGTGGGGAACTGTTGCGCCCAAATCTCCGCGACCATAATTGTGGCATCAAGTCCATCCAGTTCCCGTTAAGCCGAGTGTAATGTCTCGTGCCAAGCTTTCCAACTCCAATTGCAGCGGCTTTCCGCTTTGTGCGGAAGGTTTCTTTTCGGCGAGTGTGGAAAATTGAGCTGCATGTTATCTTCCGTTGATTTAATTAGATTTCGATTGGTTGCGCCATTTTCGCATTTAATTGATGTTAAGTTCTTGGAATTAAAGATTATTATTGAGCAGGTTTTGAAGATGCCGCCGACCAGATAGCAGACAACTGTTAAATTATTCGATATAACTTTCAGAAATCGTGATAAGTTTTCTATTTATTTGTGTGATCTCAATTTTGCTGATGATAAACTCGGAGAAAAATTTGATTTTATTCCCACTAAAATACTATTTTCGTAACTCCCCGCATACATGCATATTTAATGCGTAAATCTGAATAAAATTTACTGCCTTTAGTGGGCGTCCAAATCAATTTGCAATAAGCGTCTAGGCGTCATTATCTCGATTAACACATTAGGTATCATCAACGCCATTATCATTATCATCGCTTTATGCTAATTTTCCCGCTCAGATAAAACCCACAAAAACGCCGT